GGGGACCAAAAAGGCAGTTAGTTACTTGACAAGACATGTTACGCGTTTATGACCAATCGATATGGTGCAAAAGCTTACCGGTGTTAACTGATAATCCAACTATAATTCGAATATTGCTTCCTGCGTCACATTTCCAACCTTTTCTGCTTCATGTTCTATTCTATCGTCCAAACTTTCATCAAGAGAAATATTTCTATATTTTCGAGATTAGTTCTCCAAAGCACAAGACATATAGCTTTTACGTTAGGAATTAATTCTGCAATAATTTCTTTAAGATCGTAAATATCATTTTCTACTCCTGCGGTAACTTTGAAAATAGATTTATTGTTTTTAGTAATGCAACAAAGTGTTTTTCGTGTACCGATAATTTCAACAGTAGACATTTTAAAAGAAGTTAGATAAAAATAAGAAAAATAAGAAAGACAAAAAGAACAGAATAAAAATTATTTAATTTATCCAGAAAATAAATAAAATCTCCGGGTCAATTGATTCAAGACCACGTGTATGGCGCAGCCCGATCCCTATGGATTCGTTTCAATAAAAATTCCAATTAAAAAAAATCCAATTTAAAAAAAAAAATAAAATAAAAGAAATATTATCACACACTCTCTCCCTCTTACAATTAAAAATTCAATTAATTTAATTTAAAAACAATTATTAAAAAAGAATTTAAATAAAAATACAATTTTTTTAAAAATAAATTAAAAATAATTTGCCAATTAAGAATTATTGCGATTAAATATATAATAGAAAATAATATTATGTGGTTACATGAAAACTTACTGCGATGAATTTATTTGTCCAAGAATGTGTTTTTTTTTTAAATGATTTACAATTGATAGATATGCTCAACCGATAAATATTACAAATCTTAAAATAAATATTTACTTTTCTTGTTGTTGTATAGCAGCTTTATTAAATGTCAATAGTTGGTTATGCTATTGCAACAAAAGTTAGCAAGTTCGTAAAATCATTAAAGGGAATGGTATTGAAAGTTGAAATTGGAAGATTTTTATTTTTGGAGGATTTCTTATTAGGCATGGCGAAGATTATTAGAAAAAAAAATTTTAATGTCAAGTTTACAATTCTATTGAATTTGTCATAATCAACCAATCTCATTGAGGGAGATGCATGAGAACGCTCCAAGTTGTTTAATTTATACGTAATTAATTTATGAAAGTTATTGACGTTATTCATGTGATTTGTACCACTGTAATATTCGGGAGAATATCTTCCGATGATCTAATTTCGTCATTTTCGTCATGATAATTCCTTTTATATCCTTATGACATAATAAATTTTGCAAATTTATCCGAATTTTTTTTTTTTTAAAAAAAAAAAAATGGATGCAAATAGCCATGAAAATGAAACTCAAATCGATAGTTTAAATGTCTCAGATAAGAATTATTCTTATTGCGATAAACCATTTGCTGAATGGGTGCCCTTTGATAGATTCACAGATGTAAAAGAAATTGGAGAAGGAGGATTTGCCAAAGTGTATTCCGCAACATGGATCGATGGCAATTCGGAATTTAAAAAGCAAGATGATGGAAGTTGGAAAAGATCGGATCCTATTCCGAAGAAAGTTGCTTTGAAAAGGTTAAATGGGTCACGAGACATGTCAGACAAATATTATAGTGAGGTATTTTATTATTTACTTTTTTTATATTATTAAATAATAATATTTCTAACTTGCCTAAATTTTCATTAAAAATAACTAGCTTAAAGCACATTGGGATTTTTATAAAAGATATCCTTCCGCATTAAAATTTTATGGGATAACTAAGGATCCAGAAACCAAAGATGTTATTATGATCATAACATTTGCAACTTATGGAAGTTTGAGAAGTTATCTTTCAGATAATTTTAACAGAATATTTTGGGAAGGTAAAATTTGGAAATTATATGATGTAGTTTGTGATCTTTATAATTTACATAGTTTAGGATATTGTCATGAGGATTTTCATAGTGGAAACATCTTACAAGTTGAACTATTTTCTTATATTTCTGATTTTGGATTATCAGGACCAGCAAATAAGCAAAAATCTGATGACAAAATATATGGAGTATTGCCGTATATCGCACCTGAAGTCTTGAATTGAGAATTATATACTTTAGCTTCTGATATTTATAGTTTTGGTGTAATCATGGCTGAATTGTCATCTGGGAACCCTCCATTTTATAATAGGAAGCATGATTAAAAATTATCCTTAGATGTTTGTAATGGACTTCGCCCAGAATTTGGAAAAGGAACTCCGGAATTTTATAAGAAATTAGCTTATAGATGTATGGATGCAAATCCAAATCAAAGACCAAAAGCCGATGGATTAAAAGAAATATTGAATTTTTGGGATAAATCTATTTGATACTAACAAATATGGATATTATGGAAATGAAATAAAGGAAGCATTTGAAGAGGCAGATAAAGATATACCAAATATTTCAATTTCACTCAAAACTAATCCTGATGCTATATATACAAGTAGAACATTTACATTTAAAAATTTGACAAAACCTATTAATTCGTCTCTTATCACCTCATATCTTGAAAAGTATGGGAATAACGAAGGTAATATGTACTTAACTTTTTTTATTTCAATAACGAAATATTAATTTCAATGCATTTTAACAGAATTTCAAGATTCTCAATTAATTGAATTAGGAATTCCTAGCTCATTACAATTAAGAGGTAATATGACATATCAATATTTATAATTGCAATTTAAAATATGAACTAATATAGATTTATCTATAATTGTAGACGTAAATTAAGTGCCTACAAAGTTATATAGCGAGATGAGGTTTAACATTTGTAGTAATTAATTTTAAGTCTTAGGGATTCTCATGTTTGAACTACACCGAAAAGGTTATAGGGAGAATTTTATATATAATCAAATAGTATTTACTTTTTTATTATTAATAAATTATATATCCTAGCATCAAGTAAGCTAACTATTTAACCCATCAACTTGTTCAATACGATGAGAGCTTTCATAGAATTATTTTAATAAAATTTTACTAACCTGGATTTTTTACAGTTGTAAATAATAAAATTTATGGTCAGTCTATATGTATTCTTGGCATTTAAAGGGGGATATTGATAGAAAATGACAATTGAAAATTTAAAGATTGCAAAAATAAATATCTTTAACATTAAAAATTCGTTAACAAAAATAATAATAATTTTCTTTAACTAAATAATAGCATCACAATTCACCATTTATCAATTTTAATACTATATAACTGATGATATCCTGACAAGTTGAAATTGGCCATAAAGAACGGATTACAGAATTTCAATATGAAAATAAAGAATAGCAACTTGCTCAATGAATACAAATACAAAACTGAAAAACCAGTATATCAAATATGCAAAATAGGTGTTGTTCAAGAAGATTTGTGAATCATATCTATGCTAATTTGTGATGATATCTTTTGAAACGTGGTTAGATCAGCTGGACCATTCAAGTCAAGCTGATCAAATCCATATCGACAAATCCATCTTCTCTTACACACTTGGTTTATCGAGAAATTAAGTAGAATAACCGCACTTTGTTAAATCGTTCTTCCTGAATAAATAAGGAAAATCAGCTGTTTCATTGGTTGACTCATATTTTGGTTGGTTTTTATCTTATTTCATTTCGTTTTTTTATTTTTGTATTTTTTCATAATTCTTGATTACTAATCAGTTCGTGTACTTTCATTTTTCTCTAGTATACTTTTCATCTTCGTCTCCGGTTCAGTTATTTCATTTCTTTTTTGGCACTTTGTATATTTCTCATTCTCATCTCTGATGTCTCCGGTTCTATTAACATCTTTATTATTGGTTCATCTTTAATTTGCGATTTTCAGATGATTTTTCATTTTTTGGTACCTTTATTGATTTTATTTTAGGAATTTTTTCATTTTTCATTTGATTATATTCAAGAGCTTTTTTCTGAGTGATTTTCTTTTTGGATCACATGATGGGACTCCTGTGAACAATATTTGCGGTGAATAAATTAATTCTAACATTTGTTCACTTTTATTTATATATTAAATTTTTTAGGTTAGATCTTATTTGCTTGACATATCATAGGACCCTATTTGGAATCATTCGTCTTCATACTTGGTCAGGTTTAATGGTCAATTAACAAAAGTTGATACTTCTACTAATCAAGCGGACCTTATGGAATAGAAGTCAAGTAAAGCTGTTCATTAGGTAGTTTAAGAATTTGAAAGTCCCATTGACGAAGAGGTTGATACAAGCCTTCTTTCTTTAATGGTTATAAAAGTATTTGGAAAAGAATGCAACTCCCTTGTAATAAAGCGTGTGTTCAAAATATAGAAATGGACGAAGATTATATCCTTCCCAAATTAAATCAATATTTGGTAAGAAATTTTATTAATGATAATTATAAAACACCTTATATAATAAAGTTTATAATTTATAGTATACAGAATCAATTGGCGAAGTACTAACAGTTTAACATCAGAAGTATAGTAATAAAATGTTTAGTTAGATAGCAAATAATGTAATTAATGTATATTTAAAAATAATGTATATTTGTTATTTACATTTTAATAAGGCACATGTTTTATTTAAGATACACAGTTATTTATATATATGTTTTACTTGGGTTTTAAATAAATAATCTATAATAAATTTATTCGCGCAGAACTTATGTTGGGTCTGTGGAATTATGTAAAATTGTACAAATGGATTTTACAGAAATTTTTATATAGAACCGTATAAAAAAAACAATTGTCGATGTATATGTCTCTCTAAGAGACTTTTAGAAGTCCAGTTATATGCATTAGCAGCAATTAGGTTACAATATAAGAATTCTCATGAAGTCACGTTTAAAAATGATCTGAATAAGACAAAAAAAAATATTTGATAAAATTAGAGGTAGAAATAAATACTGCCGATGAAACTCTTGGATTAAAAACTGATTAAGCTGAAAGTTGATTTTGATAACTCGCGGACTTTAGTAAAAATAGTAGATCAAGAAATTTATTTTATCAGCGGTTCATTTGATGATGATATGCAAAGATCGGTGTTAATTTTTTACTCAATGCGGACCGCAGCTTTGCTTATTATAAAGTATCTAAAGAGGAGGAATTAGAATAATAATAA